CAGGCTCTCGACGCTCAGTCAGGGACTCTGACACCGCAGTGTAAGGAGCAGGAGCAGGCAGTGGGGAGTGTGGTAGCAGCGGCGGCTGTGACTGGTCCGCCGGTGGACACAGCAACGGAGGAGTAGTACCTGCCACAGGGAAGCCAGTAGCACCTGGCTGAAGACTGAGAAGGTGGCGAAGAGCACCAGTAGCTCCACCAGGACCTCCAGCACCTCCAGCACCTCCAGCCCCAGCAGCTTCGGCGCCTCCAGCACCAGCAGCTCTAGCAGCTCCACGACCTCCAGCACCAGCAGTACCTCCAGTACCTCCAGCACCAACAGCTCCACGACCTCCAGCACCAGCAGCACCTCCAGTACCTCCAGCACCAGCAGCTCCACCAGGACCAGCAGCACCTGCAGCTCCCCGACCTCCAGCACCAGCAGCACCTCCAGTACCTCCAGCACCTCCAGGACCTCCAGCACCAGCAGCACCTCCAGGACCTCCAGCACCAGCAGTACCTCCAGTACCTCCAGCACCAGTAGCTCTAGGTCCTCCGGTAGGAGCTCCGACGACACCAACACCAGAAGGACTCGCAGCACCCCCAGAGTCAGCACTCGAACTCGAAGCACCCCCAGAGGCAGCACCCTCGGTCTCAGCACTCGCAGGCTCAGTACCCTCAGTCGCAGCACCCTCAGGCCCAGTACCCTCAGTCCCAGCACCCCCAGGCTCAGTACCCTCAGTCCCAGCACCCCCAGGCTCAGTACCCTCAGTCCCAGCACCCCCAGGCTCAGTACCCTCAGTCCCAGCACCCCCAGGCCCAGTACCCTCAGTCTCTGCTCCAGTGTCCACAGCAGCAGGCTGCAGAGGCGGCGAAGACGGCCGTGGCGGGAAACCCGGGGGGGTCTCCAAGCGAGGAGTGCGGCGAGTGGTCGCCGTGTCGTCGGCGACGGCGTCACCCCCCTCAGATGATTCAGAGGAGTCAGAAGAGATCTCAACTGGCTCATCCAAGGGGGGTGGGTCTACCTGGGACACACCTGAGGGAGCAGGACCCTGTGGGGGAAGGGGGTCTACCGGGGGGGGGACTGGTACCAGGAAGAGAGGTGCGAGAGGGACCGGGTGGGACGCGTGCGGGTGAAGTCGGTAGTAACAGACCGACTCGTCAAAGGTGACATCCTGAGAGGTCAGAACACGACGCGAGGCAGGGTGGTAGAACTGCCAGGGTGGAGCGTCGGTGGGGAAGCCCAGGAAGACACAGCGGAGAGTGCGAGGGGAGAGCTTGCTCGCTTTGGTATCGCGAACAAGGGAGAGCGCGCCCCAGACCCGAAACGACGACGCATCACCAGGCTGTCCCGTCCAACGGAGTGTGGGCGAGGTCTCTGGAGCAGAGACACGGGGCCAGAGGTTGAGCTGATGCGCGGCGTATCGGACCGCAAACGGCCACAGGAAATGGGGAGCAGCCGCATGGATCATGGAGGTACGAGCAACCTCCATGATCAGGCCAATGCGACGCTCAGCGATCTCATTTTGTTGCGGAGAGGCCGGAAGCGTGAACGACTGGCGGATGCCCTCATCCTGGCAGAACGTCTCAAGGACGCCAGAGGAGAACTCACCACCCCTGTCAGAGTGCAGACGCAGGACTGGGAAGTCCTGCTGAAAGCGCTCGTGCAGCTGGAGACGAGTAGCACGGATCCAGCGGATCAAGACACCACTGACATCCGCCTTGCGCCGCAAGGGGAAGACTGTGGTGTAGCGTGTGTAGTCGTCAACCACCAGCAGGAAGTAGCGCTCCTGGTCCGTTCCACCGACGGGGGCCGGGCCCCACACGTCCATGTGGAGAGTCTGCAGAGGAGCAGTGGTCAGAGGAAACTCGGAGGAGTGAGGAGCGGCGCGCTGCCGCCCCTCGACGCAAGGAAGGCACGGCGGCGCAAGTGAGCGCGGGAGGGGGGGCAGGGTCTCAGGGAGGCCAGTGACCAGGAGTCGGGAGTGCATGTGGCGCAGACGCTGCAGGGAGGGGTGACCAAGACGGTGGTGCCAGCGCTGAGTCTCGTGCGTGAGTACTCGGCACGAGCAAGACGCAGCTAACTGCCCTGACGCAGACGCTCGACTCGACGTAGCTACCTGACCTGACTCAGCCACCTGTGCAGACGCAGTGGTCAGTGTGTACAGACTAGACCCAGGCTGTCGAGTGAACGTAGCCAGGTGACGGCCAGTCCGGGAGCACGTACAGATCGCCACACGCTGCCCTCCAGGAATAAAGGTATCAACCCATACATCCTGAATGGCAGCGTTGCTCACCAAGTTCGTCGAGAACGTGGGGAGGTGGAGACCTGACAAAGAGCCGGAGGGGACTGCTGGACAAGGGAGGACCGTGGAGGCTCTCGCAACCACTGGGCCCCCAGAGGGGTCAGCCAGTGAGACTGGGACAGGTGCTGTGAGTGGTGTGACTGTGGTGCAATCACGGAAGAAGCAACGTGACGCGCCGGAGTCAAGCGTGAACGTGTGCAAGACCTCAGCTGAGGCAGGACCTGTGGTAGTAGACGCACTAGCAACTAGAGCGTCGGTAGACTCACGGGCACCTAGAGCTGCAGCAGACTCACTAGCACCTGGAGTGGCAGCAGACTCACTAACACCTGGAGTGGCAGCAGACTGACTAACACCTGGAGTGGCAGCAGACTCACTAACACCAAGAGCAGCGGTCTTAACATAACGATAACCTCCACCACCAGGACGACCTCGCTGAATAACCCACTCACAAAGCTGCTGAGGGGTGGGGTCGTCCGGGAGAAGCAGTGCCCGCTGCTGTCCACCCCTGGCCGCAGCGACTGCCGCGGAAGTGGCCATGACAGACAGTGACTGTCAGGAGTAGGTCCAGCACCTCCAGCTCCTACAGCGCCAGCAGCACCTCCTACACTCCCAGCAGCACCTCCTCCACTCCCAGTAGCACAAGTAGCAGCAGCAGCAGTAGTAACAGCAGCAGGGCGGTTCGGTGGGGGTGGGAGGCCGCACCTCCACCACTCCCAGCAGTACTCCCTCCAGTAGCAGCAGTAGCAGGGCGGCTCGGGCAGCAGCAGCAGACCGAGCAGCAGCAGCAGCAGCAGTAGCACTAGCTGTAGCAAGTGCAGTAGTAGGAGCTGCAGCAGTAGCACTAGCTGTAGCAAGTGAAGTAGTAGGAGCTGCAGCAGTAGTACTAGCTGTACCAAGTGAAGTAGTAGGAGCTGCAGCAGTAGCTTCAGTCAGGAGCAGCTGCAGTAAGTGCTGGAGTAGGAGCTGCAGCAGTAGCACTAGCTGTAGCAGAAGTAGCTTCAGTCAGTACCAGCTGTACCAAGTACAGTAGTAGGAGCTGCAGCAGTAGCACTAGCTGTAGCAGCCGTAGCTTCAGTCAGTAGCAGCTGTAGCAAGTGCCGTAGTAGCAGCAGCAGCAGTAGCACTAGCTGTAGCAGCACTAGCTTCAGTAGCAGCAGCAGTGAGTTGCGCTAGCTGTAACAGGAGTAGCGTCAGTAGCAGCAGCAGTGAGTAGCGCTAGCTGTAGCAGCAGTAGCTTCAGTAGCAGCAGCAGTGAGTAGCACTAGCTGTAGCAGCACTAGCTTCAGTAGCAGCAGCAGTGAGTAGCACTAGCTGTAGCAGCACTAGCTTCAGTAGCAGCAGCAGTGAGTAGCACTAGCTGTAGCAGCAGTAGCGTCAGTAGCAGCAGCAGTGACAGCTCGGGCTGGGCAGCGCGTAGTAGCAGTAGGCGCGCGTGGGCTGTGGGCGTGCAAACCAGGGGCGCGCAACAGGTGCGTGCGGGGCGGCACTACGAGGAGCGCGCATCAGGTGCGTGCTAGGGGCTGGCGGGCAGCGTGAGTGGCGCGCGCAGCAGCAGGAACGAGGGGGGGACCGGGCGTAGGGGCTGACGGGCCGCGCGAGAGGCGCACGGGGCAGCTAGGGCTCGGTCAGGGGGGTCGCACGTGACTAGGAACAGAAAATCGCGTCTAGGCAGAAAAGGGAACCGTCTCGCCTAGGGCACGTTTTCGCATTTCGCGTTTCTCCTAGGGGCGCGACTCGGGCAGCAGGTCGAAATAGTAGTGGTGGGCCCTTTTAAAATTTCGGTCCTAAGGAGCATTGTGCTCTTAATACCATGTTAGAGTTACTAGCTAGATGAGTGGGTTCGATTAGGTAAGGGGGGGGTACAAGGACTATCGAGAGAGATTGTTGTACCCTCTAAGGAAAGAACCCTACACAACCTAGAGTGAAATAAGCAGAACAATATGTTTTGACAGTTTATTCAACAATTCCATATCGTAACACCGTGGTGCTGACGGGGTGGACGGCGCTGCTGGCAGTGCTGGCGCTCTCCTTGCTGCTCATTGGTGCCGGCATCTATGCTCACCACCGCTTCTTCAGCCCCACGCGCGACTACACTCTAGTTGTGCAGGATGGAGGTGTCAAGGAGGGGGATGTGTGAGGGATGCTCTGCTTGTGTACCTGTGCGTTATTGAACCTGCCTCTAGTTCTGACTCAATGACAGTAATGCTTCAAAATGAGTTGAAGAAAGTCAATGCAAGAAGGAAATTCTCGTGGACAATACATACTAACTTTTTCCGTCAATGTGTCAAGATGGCTGAGTTGGTCCAAGGCACTGGGGCTAGTGGGGAGTGACACCAATCCAGTATACAAATGTTGATATAATCAAACCAGTATCACATAGAAATAGGCAGCAATCAGCACTGAACCACTGCCTGATACTACAAGGAATTCAGTGCAAGTCTGTACGTCTTTCAGGCACCACGCAGTGTCTGAGGGGCACAAGGCCAGCAAAGCAGTTTGGAAAAGCAAGCAAGGCACTGAGTGGCAAGGCGGCGAGGAATAAGGTCAGCCACTGGCTGTGACAGCTTGAGACACGGGAAAGTAAGAGGCAGAGAGGCAGAGCTCCCTGGCCCAGATGGATGATGGATGATGGTGGGAGCATGATTCATGCCACGGGAGGGTGGGGAGAAGTGTGGCGTGCAGCAGCGCAGGGCCCGTGGGGGTTGTGGGGGGCGGGTCACTCGTCGTAGGTGCGGCACTCATCGGTGTCGGGGTTCTCCTCGCAGTACTCAATGAGTGGGTCCTCGTAGTCAGCTGGTCCGTACACCACTGCCGTGCGCGACGGCGCATACACCTGGAACGAGTGCGGCCTCCCGTCATGCCACCCCTCCTGCACGCACAGCCATGGTCACAGCCACAGTCCGTCAGTCAACATGCACAGACACATGGATGAGCAGAGAGGGACGAGGTCAAGGGAGACGAAAGGAGGGACGAACAGAAGCGAGGGAATGAAGGGGTGGTTGGAGCGGGCGATGGGGCCAGCTGCAAGGGTAAAGAGGCGTGGACATGGAATTAAAACGCTTTGAAACTCCATGAGGAAGGGGCGGGCGGAAGCATGGGGGGAGTTGGAGAGAGCGAGGCAGGGGGCATACATTGGAGTAGTAGGCAGCGTTGTGGTCGATGCGGTTGTAGCCTCCAAAGCGCCCCTCATCCGAGTCCAGCACCACCTGGTGATGGAGGAGGGGTAGGAGAGCAGGCAGCGAGCGACGCACAGGTACATGCTCCAAAGTTTGAACCAGGCAGCATGGCAGCAGGAGAGAAGGAGGGGCAGACTCGTGCAGGCAGCAAGAAGGGTGGAGGCACGGGCAGGATGAGGGTCGGGTGGGGGCGCGGCAGCGCTGACTGACCTTGTATTTGCCGGGTTTGTTGCAGCCGATGCGGTAGTCGGTGTAGGAGTTGCTCCAGTGCAGGTTGAACACAAACACCAAGTCGCCGCGCTCAAACACGATCAGCTTGTCGCCCTCGTCCTTGCGCGACACGTACTGGTGCTCCGATGATATGAACTGGTGGCACGGGGGGGGGGGGAGGTTAAGAGGGAAGGAGGGGCAGGGACCAGGTGAGATGGAACGCCAAAGATGGAGAGAGGTGACTCATCGAGTTGGCGTTGGTGTCACATTCCCCCTAGGTGAACGTCTAACTACCCTACCCACTGCACCTTGTACGTCTCCTTCCCTGCACCACCAAGCACCTCACCCCACCCCACCAAGAACCTCTTTCTCCCCTCTCTTCCCTGGTACGTCTCCCCCCTTTGCACCTTGTAGGTCTCTTCGAGGTGCTGCATGGCCTGGTCGAAGTCGTTGAGCACCTTGTAGCGCAGGAAGGGGGCGTCCGCCAGGTCAAAGCGGCGCCGGCACAGGTGGTAGCTGCCGCCGTTGCCGGGGATGAACTTGCCCGCCGGGGTCGTGAAGTCCCACCGCGGGAAGTCAATCCACTCTGCCGTGCCGGAACATGCCATGCCACACCGTGCCATGCCATGCCACATGGTGCCATGCCATGTGAAGTCGCATGCACACAAACAGGACGCATCGCAAAAGGAACGGGAAAAACCAGTGAGGGACGTATTACCCATGTCATTTGTTTCTTTCAATTGTCACATCACGTTCCAACAGGTGTTCCTCTGCATTTCCACCAACTTCATTCCTTGAGGAACGCATACCCCACCCCCCCCTTCCTACACCGTGTGCGCAGCGTACCGGGGTGGCCGAACTCGTTGCCCATGAAGTTGAGGTAGCCCTCGCCGCCCAGCGCCATGGTGAGCAGGCGAACCATCTTGTGCAGCGCAATGCCGCGGTCCACACGCGGAGTGGAGGGCCCATCGAGGGCCATGAAGTCGTACATGTCCTTGTCCATCAGCCAGAAGGCGATGGTCTTGTCGCCCACCAGCGCCTGGTCGTGGCTCTCCGCGTACGCTATCGACTTCTCATTCCACCGCCGGTTGGTGAGCGTGTGCACTATGTCCCCCATCTGCCACTGCTCGTCCGTCTGCCTGCAGGGGCGCAAGGCAGCAGCAGCAGCAGCAGCATCAGCAGCAGGGCGCGCAGGAGCAGAGGGCACAAAGGCCGAGGCAGGGTGAGGCGGAGCATGCAACAAAGGCCATGCGAGACGCACCATGTGTGTGAGGTGTGGGGGGCGGGGTGAGGGGCGAAGGGGAGCAAGGTTTCAGCAGTGAGGCCAGCAACTCACTCGGAGAGCAGCTCGATCCACTTGTCAGCGATGGCCATCTGCAGGCGGTAGTCAAAGCCCACGCCGCCCCACGCCACGGGCTGGCAGAGAGTGGGCATGCCGCTGACGTCCTCCGCGATGGTGACGCAGTCGGGGTAGAGCCCGTGCATCATGTCGTTGGCCGTCATCAGGTATGCCATGGCCTCCACGTCCGTCGCAAGCCCAAAGTACTCCTCGTAGTTGCCCGTGAACGCCATCTGTGGGGGGGAAAGGGGGGTGGAAGCAGGGAGTCGACTTTTGAGTCGACTCAAAAGCGTCCGTGGCAAACCCAAAGTACTCCTCGTAATTTCCCGTGAATGCCATCTGTGAGTGGGAAAAAAGGGGGGTGAAAGCCGGGAGTTGAGTAAATGATAAGGGAAGTGGGTGCGAGGGAACATAGCCAGAAGAGGTGCAGAGGGAGAGGGAGAGAGAGATGATATGTCCATGGGGCATGGTGCGTGGTGCGTGGTGTGTGGTGTGTGTGGTGCACGTTTCATGCGGCATGGTGCATGGTGTATGATGCATGGTGCACAGTGCATGGTGTATGATGCGTGGTGCACAGTGCATGGTGTATAATGCATGGTGCACAGTGCATGGTGTATGATGCATGGTGCACAGTGCATGGTGTATGATGCATGGTGCATGGTGCACGGAGCAGGAGCACGCACCTGCAGCCCATGGTGCGTGTACATCATGGAGGTGATGCCATCGAAGCGGAAGCCGTCGAACTTGTACTCCTCGAGCCACCAGCGCAGGTTGGAGAGGAGGAAGCGCACGACCTCCCAGTGGCCGTAGTTGAAGAGGCGCGAGTCCCACATCCAGTGGTACCCGCGCTCGCCCGAGTGGAAGTACTGCCCGTCCGTGCCGTCAAACATGTTCAGCCCGTCCAACACGTTGTTCGACGCGTGGCTGTTGTGCGCCCGTGGTGGTTGTGGCGGCGGTGGTGGTGGAGGGGGAAGAAGGGAAGTGAGAGGGAGGAGAAAGTGCGAGTTCATGCCAGCAACACATCCGTTCGTTCAAGTCCGTTCAGTCTGGCTGCTTCACGTGTGGTTGAGGAGGAAGGGGGGCGGAGCGGGGAGAGGGCGAGAGAGTGCGGGCAGTGGCAGTGCCCCAACAAGGTGGGCGTGGCGGTGCACCGGCAAGCCGGATATGGTGATGCGCGTGCGCACAGGCATGACTGTACGTGCACACGCGCACACCCACCTCCCCGCTCCCTCTTGCATGTCAACCGTCCCGTAACCTCCTGCCTGTGCACACGGCGCACACCACCATGCCCCGCCCACCTGTATCAGCAGTGCGTCATCCCAGTCAGCCTGCCTGTGCGCGCAGCAAACCATCTATTCCCCAGGCCACCTGTGCGGCGCGGCCCACCCACCTGTGCACGCAGTCCATGAGCACGACGATGCCCATGCCGTGCGCGGCGTCAATGAGGCTCTTGAGCTCGTCGGGCGTGCCGCACCGGCTGCTCACCGCAAAGAAGTTGGTCACGTGGTACCTGCGGGGGGGGGGGGAAGGGGGAAAACGGGGAGGGGGCACAATGCGGGCGGGCGCCGCATAGAGACGGATGATGTGAGGGAGGGGTTTGCGAGGGCGTGGTGACAGGCTGAGAGCGTGCACACACGACGATGCCATGCAACACGGCAGGTAGGCACGCGTGGGGGAGAGACGCCATGCACGCACGAAAGGGCAAGGAAGAAGCGGAGCGGCGGAGCGGCGGGCTCGCGTGTTGATGCAAGCACGCAACGAGGTGAAAACGGGCGCGAGGGACGGGGGGAGCGGGAGCGGGGCAACCGACGAACGAGCCGTAAAATGAGTGGAAGCGAAGCAGAAAGGGGGGAATGGGGTAGCGGGCGACTTACCCGAAGGAGCCGTAGTAGGCGTGTTCCTGGATGGCCATGAGCTGGATGGCGTTGTACCCCAGATCGCGCACCCGCGGCAACACGTTGTCGCGGAACTCCGCGTACGTGCTCACTCGCGGCTCCTGTTAGTGCACGATGCAATAACGCGGATGAGTGAAACCAGAAGTGGCAGGATGGAGAGCTGGCATGGGTGCGCCGAGGAGGCATAGATGAACGGAGGGAGCTGGCGCGCAGTGCGGGGAGAGGCGGAAAAGGATGCACGAGAGTCAGAGGAGGAAGGCGGAACAGGAGGGGCAAAGAGGGGCTGCCGGGAGAGAGCGGGGAAAGGGGGAGGGAAGGGCGGACGTACAGTGCTGCTCATGCCCACGTGCGCCTCGTAGATGCGCAGCGCTCTGGGTCGCTTGGGGCGCGCATTCTTCCACACGTGGCGCTCCTGCGGGCGCGCGCAAAACGAGGACAATCACGGTGGGCAATGCAGGCACGGTGGGCAATGCAGGCACGGTGAAAAGGCAGCGAGAAATGGTGAGCGAGCAGCGCAGAGTGAGAGAAGCAGATGCATCAGTTAGGTGGCGGCCAATGACTAGACAAATTCGCATGGAGGATGGCGCGGGAGGCGTTGAGAGTCGGGGCTGACCTCCGGAGGCGGGTCGTAGTAGATGCCGTTGTAGGGGATCTCGCCGGGCGCCTGCACCGCGAACTTGATCCACGCCGGAATCGCGTCCTTCCACCCCGACGGCGTGTCCATGTGAATCTGAATGCCACGTCATGCAAAAAATAATCCACGTGTCATCGCTGCAGGATAACGCTAGCCAGGGGAGACCTCATACTGGCAGGCAATACTGAGTGCATGCTAGTAAGGCCGTTAATTACCCGCACGGCGCATCTGCATCGCCATGCCGAGTACAAGGCACTGGATGCTGAGCTTTCGTTGTTTCCGCCAGCTGCTATACGTGAGTTGATGCCAACATTCGCTACAAGAAAAGTTTCTGGCTCACGTGACGCGCTGTGTGTCGCGCTATTAACCACATGTGATGCAGCCATTCATACAGTAACACTCAGGTACTTAGGAGCTCGAGAAGGGCACAAACTGACCTTGACGCGGGAGCCGTGGGGAATGGCGGGGGTGCCATCGGGGTTGTCGGGCAGGAAGAGCTCCCACACGCCGAACTCGTCCTGCCACACGCAAACGCGCACCAACAGCACGCAACATAGACACTCGAAAACCGTTACTGATTCTGTCAAATCGCAGCAAGCAAGCGTTGAGGGCAGCAGAGTGAGCAGGGGGGGCGGACCTTCTTCATGATGTCGGCGTTGGGGTTCCAGTTGTTGAAGTCGCCGATCAGCGACGCCGACTGCACCACACACCCACAGCCACGCACATCGCTGTCAGATTGAATGCGTACAAGGAAACAACGTCAACCAGGATGCGGAAAAGCTTGCAGTCAACTTACATAAGCGCCGGGAGCCCACTCGCGGTACACGATGCCGTTGTGCCTGCGCAGATTAAACGAGACGCGTTCACAATGCCAAACGACTTCATATTATAGCGGTCAGTTCGCGGCAAAACAACGGCGACGCGAGAGCGAGCGGCTTACACTCGGTTGAAGCCGAACTTCTCGTAACCGCGGGAGAACTTCTCCAGCCCGCCCTCGTGCTGGTCGATCTCCCACCGCAGCTTCTTGTACTGCCCGAAGCTGTGCAGGGACGAAAAGGTGGCGTTGCGGGTGGAATGTAAACGTGCGCGAAAGGAACATGGCCTACGTGCGCGATTCACAACCCAATATTATGAAAAATAAAAGAAAAGGCAACGCCTTGGTTCGCCCGGTACTATCCGTGGCTACGGTTACTGGTATTCCATCACAAAGTGCCTATCGGTACTAAATGGCGTACACGCGATGCCTACCGGTACTATCGAGGTACAAGCGGTGTGCGTACCGGTACTGTCGAGGTACAAGCGGTGCGCGTACCGGTACTCGAGGTGGACGCGGTGTGCGTTGAGGTACTCGTCAGTCTCAAAGATCTTCTTGCCCTCGCCCGGCGGCGGCACCACTTTGGGCCCCTCCTGCGTGAAGATCATCTGCTCGCGCAGCTTCGCGTTCTCCTGCCGCAGAGCCTGCGCCACGCCAACACAAAACACATGCGCTGTCAGTGTGTCTGCTGGAAACAAATTATCCGCTTGCGGGATTTGAGGTGAACCAATGGGTGTCCAAAGGTGTGGGTCTGACGGCTAAGACGGTATGTGCGGACCTTAATCTGCGCTTCAATGACTTCCGCCTCCGCCTCCAAGTCCCCCACTACCAGCTCCGAGCCCCCGTCCTTCGCGGCCTGAGCGGCCACGCGGAGCCGGCGGCTGCTGTCATCAGTCCACGTCAGCTTCGCCTGACGATGCCGTGAGGCCCGTTGCCTGAGCTGCAATCGCGCGGGAATCTGACAGATTCTGGCATTGCCTGCAAGGTTGATAGGCGGATCTGAGTGAGTTCGAGAGAAATCAAATATGCTGTTTTCGAGTTTGGAGGCCTGCAAATCATGAAAAAAAAAGAAGCGAATTTCTGTTCGAAAAACACACCTCCAAGGAAGGGGCTTCGGCTGGAGGTAATTTTATGGCCTGATAAAAGCCGAGACGCCGACGGCGCAGAGACGGTGGTCGTCGCCATAGCTACACAGCTAAAGCGCTGCTAGAGATTCAGAGTGAATTCCACCTGGTGCTGCCTTGAGTACATTCCCAGCCGAATCGAAGGGCAGTGGGGGAAGGGTGAGGGGGGGAAGTAAGGGCGGTGGTAGGCGGAGCCGGGCAAGGGAAGTGGAGGCCAAGAAGTGTAGGTTGGGCGGAGCGGAGGTTGGGTTTGGCTGGGGGGCTGGTGCGCATTGCCCCGCAGCACTGCTGCGCTTCCAGATTAGTAGAGCAGGTCCGCGAACATCCGACCCCACCCAACTCCATGTGGCTCCAAGACCACAAAGGGCTTGCCACGTCGGCACGGGCCAAGCATCAAACGACCTCCCGTTTCAATCTTGAAGGGGCTGTGACTTGGTATCGAGCCAAAACACCTGCGGGAGCAAAGCAGGGATTCCCTGCTTTGGTTGCTTGTTCCTGAACTGCTCCAGTTGACAGGATGTGAGGCTGGACTCATTTATCCCACCCCCACCACCACCAGACCATTTGAGGGTAGAATGATTGAAGCACCACTCATCCTCGAATTCCTTCGTTTCCATCTGCCCGAAATAACAGATCCACAAAAGAGTCCCGCTTGCCTTCGAAATCTTCAGAACGACGTAAAAAGCAAGAGGAATAACGAGTTGTACCAATGCGATTGCGACATCAAGGCAGGAAGACATGCCAGGCTGGCCGTAGTAACTTCAGGCTCGAAACTAGCTCGTGTAGTGAGTGTTTCGTTACGGGTCTTCCGATATACATGAAGAATGGTTGGCCATCATTGTAACGTTATGTATATACTTTTGATTTCTCCAATTGCAGGTCTTTGTGATAGCAGAAGCCTGTGATAAGCCACCTGCTTGGGTCGAGAAATGGCGTACAACCAGGCCAATCAGCAAGGACCAACAAGCCTCCACCGACTCTGCACGCACGTGACTCTTCACTTCACCGTCTCACGTAACACCCACCTCCTTGTGTTACGGATCGCGCGGCTCCCTGCACTGTACTGTACCGCATTGCCCGGCGCTGAGAGCAGTTGTTGACGTTCATCCCCAACCCAACCCCCACCAGCAACCTTCTGGCAGACAATCAATCCCACAGAAACTGCCGACGAACACTTCCCCCCAACCCAACCATTTGCAATTGAGCTCCTAGCTTTTTGACAACTGCCTTCACAAACACCATTTTAGGGTTTTCTTGCCAGGTCCTTGCAGCAGTTGTCAAGCAGAAGCCGCTAATGTTGTAATTGGAGCTATTCTCTGCAGTTCTTTCTAGTGCCTGTTCGCCGTACTCATAGTTACGTCTCATCCGCTTCGTAGTAAGACGGAACTGTCGATTCGTCGTAGCTTGGAAACATTGATTATCGTTGGCAGTGTTTCAACTCCATGGCCGTTTCACTAGTGGGAATGATTGTACAAAGTCTTCTATTTATACGTAGTGGGTAGTTTAGAGTTTATATTTGGAGCATTTATTCGTTCAGAAGTCATGGACCGGTCAGTGTTGGATCGTCCCGCGATAGATCGTCGGATGATGCTGCTCAGCCGCAGCCGGCGGGAGCACGACGGAGATTCCGATTCTGAGGAAGCGTATTCAGTTGGAAGAGATGACGTGGATCGTTCTGATTCGCTCAGCCGGGCCTTCGCTCAGGTCAGACACCAGCAGGCGGCTAGCGTCCCAGTAGACGACATATTTGACCTGCTTCGCGACCATGCGACAAAGCATATCAAAAGCGTGCGGTCCTGTGAAGTCCTGACACAATGGAATGACTGGGTTTCGTTGCTCTCTCGAAAGGGATATTTGGCCCGGTGTGCGTTTCTGGGTATGCTCGTATGTGGGCTCGAACGTTCGTGTCTGGTTCATGCGTTCATTTTCCCCAATGCTGCCAGCAAGCGACCGTGGGGGACTACCGGGGAAGAGGAGGGGACTCGCGGCAAGTGCGGGAAGAAGAGGAGGAGGAGGAGGACGAGGAGGAGTACACTGTGGAAGTGTGGGACGCGCTTGACTCGCTAGAGCAGGTAAGGGGGTGGGTGAAGGGAGGAGCATGGCCATGCGAGGAGCAGGGGGGCGAGGTTGTGCGTGGAGATGTGGGAGTGGAACACCTCAGTGTGTCTCAAGCACCCCCGCTCAAGCCGCAGATGTGTGTGCTTGCTCACCCCGGCTCGTTGCCTCACCCTCGTCCTCTCTTCCGCCTGCGCACTCTTATCACTGTCCGCCATTCTCTTCTCCCCCTCCCCACCCCCTCCCGTGCTTCCCCACGGTCCTCGTCCCCACGGTGTCCCCATGCGCGCGTGCGGCAGTTAAAGCCCATCATCGCGTCGGGCCCGCGGTGGAAGCTCGAGGAGTTTCTACGAGCCATCGACATCCTCCAGGTGCGCTCGCACGCTCGCATGCTGCTGCAGGCACGCTCGCATGCTGCTGCAGACACAGGCACGCTCGCATGCTGCTACAGCTACGCTCGCATGGAATGGTATAGTGCTCTATAATTCTCTCTGCTCTGCTATTCCCCCCTTTCCCCATCCCCTCCTCTGACGGCGCGCAGGAGATGGCGGAGTTCTTTGAGCGCAACGAGTGCGCGTCGTGCGTGCGCGAGTGCGAGAAGTACATGGCGGTCGCCATGGACCACCTCGTCGACGAGTTCCGCGACGCGCTCGTCAAAATCAGGTGCGCGCGCACACACGCACCCATGTATCCTTGCATGCACCTACTGAGATCGCATTGGACAAGGGGATTGCAATGGGGAGGGACGGGGGCGCACATGAACGAATGAGGTGGGGATGGAGTGGAGCAAGCGTGCAAGCGTGTGCAACGTGTGTGAGCTGGTGAGAAACGCCTCCACGCTGTTATCCCACGCTCTTCCCAACCTTCTCGTCCGCACCTCTCAATCCTTCCATGCCTGAACACCTCCCCGCTTCTCTGAACCTCCGCTGCCACCCCTTTCCTCCTTTCCCCCCCTTTTTCCTCCCCTTCCCCTCCTTCTCCCCTCCCTCCACCCCCACTTCTCTCCCTCCCCATCCCTGCCCACGGCCGTGTGGCTCGGCGCGCAGCAAGCCGTTGCCAGCAGCCATGCTGCGCGAGGTGGCCATGTCAGCGCACGCGGGCCGCCTCGTGGACCAGCACCAGGGCGGCGCCGCTGCTGCCGCCGCCGCCGTGCTGGCGGGCGCGGCGGGCCCGGGCGTGCCGCGCACGTCCACGGGGTCGTCGTCTGCGTCGTCCCACCTGCCCACCTCTCGCTCGCGCACCGCCAACACCACCTCCTCGCCCGACTCGTCGGGGTCGTCGTCCCCCGTGGGGGGGGGGTCCGCCATGGCGCACGCGGTGTCAGCAGCGACACACCTGGCGCTGCAGGACTGGCTGTCAGCCAGCGCCGTGCCCTTCCTGCACCGCATGGCCGTCAAGCTCGCGCAGGGGGGCGAGTCGCAGCGCTGCATGCAGCAATACGTGTGAGCACTGGCAAGAATGATTTCCGTCGCCTGTCACTTTTGCTTCCTATCAATCCTCCTCTTCTCCTCCTTCCTATTATCCCCCCACTGTTCTTCCTTGGCCACTTTTCCTATTATCCCAACTCTTACCCCTCCCCCTTTTTCTCATTCCCACGGGCAGCAAGGTGCGGGCGGAGGCCATTCAGCGGAGTGTAGACGCGCTGGACATCAAGAGAGTGCTGACGACATCACTGGAGGAGATGACGTGGCAGCAGCTGGAGGCGCTGATGAAGGGATGGGTCACGGACATGCGAGCCATGGTGGGCAGGGCGTGGGGCTTGGGGCTGGCGTGGACGTGGGCTTGGGGTTTGGTTCGGATGTGGGGTTGGGGAGGTTGGGGGTGGTGTGATCCATGAATTGGGAGAGAAAATATTCAGTTGACCCACCAGCGCTCTCGTGCTTGCCATGTGCGCTGCATGGTGCTCATGCCGTTTCCCCCCTCTCACTCGCCTCTACTTCTCCTCTCTGCCATGTCTGCCACTGACCACTGCAGGTGTTGGTGCTGCTGGGCAGTGAGCGCGTGCTGTGTGACGAGATATTCGACTCACTCGAACCCGACAGAGAGCTCTGCTACCTCTCGCTCATTCAGGTGACCCCTGCTTCCTCCCACCTCAATCTCTTCGCATGTCTGTTCCAGATGTCTCCCCACCATCGTGTTTGCCTAAAATCTCCCTTGTTCACCCTTAACAATCCCTATCCCTCCTCCCCCGTTCCTCCTCTCCCCACTCCTGAGCGCAGGCGAGTGGGTTGGCGGCGACGGTGGAGGCGGTGGTGAGCAACGGGCGGGTGGTGGCGTCGGGGCGCAACACACCGGAGCGCCTCTTTGCGCTGCTCGACATGTTCACCACCGGCCGCGAGCTGCGCGCCCAGGTGGGGGGGAAGAGTAGGTGGGGAGGAGAGGGGGGTGTGAGCGAGGAAGGCCACAGGTGGAGGGCGGAAGGTCGCAGGTGGGGTGAGGGGGCTGGAGATGCGCGCCCGTGTCTTGTCTCCCTGTGCTGCCTGTCAACTTCCTGAAAGCCTTTCAAACCCTTCCCTAACTCCCTCCTGCCCTTCCCACCCTGGCCGTGCGGTGCATGGGGATCAGATAGAGGCGGTGGTGTCGGTGCCGGGGTTTGGCAGTGTGCTGCGCGAGATGGAGCGGCTGCCGCGTGACCTGGCGGGGGCGGTGATGGACACCATCGGCGAGTTCAAACGCGTTCTTGAGGAGCCGCCCGCCCACCACCAGGCGCACAGCCAGGACAAGAAGAAAGGGTGAGTGGGAGGAGGGTCTGTTGATGGAAGGCGGGCTGGATGGGACAGGCATGGGGTGTGGCAGCTACAATAGCATGTGACACCACCTCCTGCACCCATCCTGTGTCTGCCCTCTGTCTTTGACTTCGCCTGCTCAATGTTTCTCCCCTCACTCTGCCTCTTCCATCCCCCCTGACCACCCGCTCGAGCACCATCTCACCCCTTCATCCCATCCCACCCCGTCCATGTGCCCTTGTGACCGCAGCATGCTGAAGCCGTTCCTGCGCAGTGCGAGTGCGAGCAGTGGGGCGGACACGGGGCCCGTGGAGGAGATGGAGGTCGCCACGGCCGCCACGCACCCGCTCACCTCCTACGTCGTCAACTACATGAACAACCTCCTCGATAAGTGCGTGCGGGGTCGCCTCCTGTCACCCTGCTCTCATTTCCGATGTCCATGTGTTAGGCTTACAGCACCAGGTTGTGGAATTGAGCGTGGCGCAGTTGAAGCTAGCAGCTTGATGTATGGAAATGGATGGATGGATGCAACGCATGGGTGCACTGACCCCACTGGAGTTGTTATGGATTTCCTGTGGTGGTGAGCAGGCAGAGCAAGCGCAACTACCCGGTGACGTTGGAGTATCTGTTGCTGGAGTACGGCCGCAGCATCACGTCCACCGGCACCGACGCCACAGCAGCGGCGCTCATAACGCGCAGCGGGCCGCAGTACAAGACGCCCTTCAGCGGCGCCGCGGTGGAGCGGCGGTCGGGCGCGGTGGGGCCGGCAGCGCTGGGGCAGCGTGCAGCGACGCTGGCGGGCGTGGTGTCGTCGGTGCTGGAGTCGCTGCTGCGCTGCCTGGAGAGCCGCGCCAAGGCCGCCTCCGACCCCACCCAGGGCGCCCTCTTCCTGCTCAACAACGCCCTCTACATCTCCAAAAACCTGTGAGCCGTCCACCCATCAACCCCGTCAGTGCAGTGCATGACACTCCTGCCACCCTGTGAGGTCTTCCCTGTGTAGAATTCCCACTTCCGTGTGTCCATGCCCGCATGTGTCCACACAACCATGCACCCATGCATTCATCCATATGCACCAATGCACCCTTAGGCCCATGCACCCATGCACTCACCCACGTGCACCCCCATGCACCCTCGCACTTATGTGTGTGTGTGTGTGTCATGGCCCATGCAGGTCGGACGGCAAGCTGTCAGCGGTGGCGGACCTACCGGACTGGAAGGACGGGCAGATGCTGGACAAGTACATGATCCACTTCAGGGACGCCGTGCTCGCCCGGGTGACTCCCGCCTGCCCTGCCCTGCCCTGCCTCGCCATGCCATGCCATGCCATGCCTTGGTGCATTTGATTGAATGACAGGAAGCTTGTGGCATGTGTGCATGAAGAGATGTATACATGAACATGTGTGCATGAAGAGATGTATACATGAACATGTGTGCATGAAGAGATGTATACATGAACATGTGTGCATGAAGAGATGTATACATGAACATGTGTGCATGAAGAGATGTATACATGAACATGTGTGCATGAAGAGATGTATACATGAACATGTGTGCATGAAGAGATGTATACATGAACATGTGTGCATGAAGAGATGTATACATGAACATGTGTGCATGAAGAGATGTATACATGAACATGTGTGCATGAAGAGATGTATACATGAACATGTGTGCATGAAGAGATGTATACATGAACATGTGTGCATGAAGAGATGTATACATGAACATGTGTGCATGAAGAGATGTATACATGAACATGTGTGCATGAAGAGATGTATACATGAACATGTGTGCATGAAGAGATGTATACATGAACATGTGTGCATGAAGAGATGTATACATGAACATGTGTGCATGAAGAGATGTATACATGAACATGTGTGCGCGGCTTCATGGAGTGTGCTCATGCGTGCTTTAGCAGTCCCCTTTTGGCTTGCATGATGGTGCCCTCTTGGTTTCATACCGCCTATTGCACTCGTCTGGATGCCATGCCACCTCTTTCTCTCATCCCCCCCACCTCCTCCATCTCTCTCAATTCACCTCACACCTTCCCTCGCCTGCGTGCTGGTGCCCACGGCCACAACAGATATCGCACGCTCTGGAGGAGACAGCAGTCACGGGGGGGCTGCTCAAGTCTGTCAATGAGCACACGGAGGTCAAGGCCAAGTGAGTGGTTGGGGGGGGGTGGGGGACGTCCGCTTGGAGGGGTGGTTGAGCACCAGTCAGGGGGGGCTTGGCCGTGCATCCTTTTTTACTCACCTTTGTGCTGTCCGTGCAGCTTTCTCACTCTCATCCGTGTCCCTCCTTCCCCTCGCTGCCATGTTTCACCCCGACATGCGCACATGTGTGTGCGTGCCCGCACGTGCGTGTGTGTGTGCGGCAGGTTGAAGAAGTTCAACGCGGCGTTTGAGGAGCTGGCGATAAAGCAGGCGGGGTGGAACATCCCCGATGAGGACCGCCGCAAGAAGACTCGCAGCAGCGTTGCCCGCCGCCTGCGAGAAATCTACTCCGCCTTCCTGCTGCCCTACCGGTGCGCTGCCTTGCCCATTCTCTTCTGCTGCCCACAGGTGCCCTGTCTTGCCCATTCTCTTCTGCTGCCCACAGGTGCCCTGCCTTGCCCATTCTCTTCTGCTGCCCACAGGTGCTGCAGTCCCTAGGCCTTCCTGCTGCCCTACAGGTGCCCTGCCTTGCCCATTCTCTCCTGCTGCCCACAGGTGCTGCAGTCCCTAGGCCTTCCTGCTGCCCTACAGGTGCCCTGCCTTGCCCATTCTCTTCTGCTGCCCACAGGTGCTGCAGTCCCTAGGCCTTCCTGCTGCCCTACAGGTGCCCTGCCTTGCCCATTCTCTTCTGCTGCCCACAGGTGCTGCAGTCCCTAGGCCTTCCTGCTGCCCTACAGGTGCCCTGCCTTGCCCATTCTCTTCTGCTGCCCACAGGTGCTGCAGTCCCTAGGCCTTCCTGCTGCCCTACAGGTGCCCTGCCTTGCCCATTCTCTTCTGCTGCCCACAGGTGCTGCAGTCCCTAGGCCTTCCTGCTGCCCTACAGGTGCCCTGCCTTGCCCATTCTCTTCTGCTGCCCACAGGTGCTGCAGTCCCTAGGCCTTCCTGCTGCCCTACAGGTGCCCTGCCTTGCCCATTCTCTTCTGCTGCCCACAGGTGCTGCAGTCCCTAGGCCTTCCTGCTGCCCTACAGGTGGCGCGTGAATGGGGAGTGGGCAGCAGCACACTTGACGTGCAATTATTGTGTCCTATTCCAGTCTGGCTGCACTCTCTGCTCCCTTATTTCTGCTCACATTCTTATCGTGTTTGCATGTGTGCCTTTTGCTCTCTGTGTGCATGTGTGCTGGCATGCATGGGGTGGCAGGGAGGAGCTGTGTGAGTTCAAGACGTACCGCTATTCACCGGACGCCATAGAGCGCGTCGTGCTCGACTACTTCTTCCTCGCCACTCCCTCCAGAGGCCTCCCCATCTCCTTCGGATAGCCACCCCTCCCCATCTCCTTCGGATAGCCACCCCTCCCCATCTCCTTCGGATAGCCACGCCTCCCCATCTCCTTCGGATAGCCACGCCTCCCCATCTCCTTCGGATAGCCACCCCTCCCCATCTCCTTCGGATAGCCACGCCTCCCCATCTCCTTCGGATAGCCACCCCTCCCCATTTCCTTCGGATAGCCACGCCTCCCCATTCCCTTTCCATCTCCTTTCGAGTCGTCTCGAAGCTTCCCATCCCCATCATCTCGGATAGCCATGCCAGCTCGCCCACTCCCTCGCCCTGCACAGCCACTCCTCTTTGCTACCCTCTCTCACTGGCACCTTGTCTCAGCAGCGCCTGCGCATCGCACGCGCCCTGTTGACTTGGGAGTGCCGTGGCATGCCATCCCCCCCACTGGAACGGGCAATAAGGCTTGCTGAAAGCGCCCAGTCTGCCTGGCCGTGTGCCCCCTCCCACAGCAGCAAGGAACAACACACCCACTCAGCGGCACAGTAGCAGTAGCAACAGCAGCAGTACCCAAAGCATTAGCACCAGTAGCAGTAGCAGGAGTAAATGAAGCAGCAGCAGCAGCAGCAGCAGTGTGCATGGCATGCTGGCTGCAGCACATGCACGGCAATGAGGCAGTGGAGGGGCAGCAGCATGGGTGATGTACCTTTAGTGAGCCATGGTAGAGGGGTAGGGTCACTTGCAGCCTTAGCACATGCATTCTTCATTTGGAAAGTGCAGCCCTTGGCACACAGCCCTGTTGATGTTGCACAAGATACTTGCTAGCGAAGATACCGTAGTCTGAATTGTTCTGTACAATAAGTAACACTGTCAGTTGCTAATTATAACTTTCGAGGAACAAAACGTGTAAGAAGCTAGTATGCCAATCATGGTACCAGTAGTATGCTCAGACCAGCTCCAGCACACGCACACCATCCTTGCCCATTTCTGAGGTTAATCTGTGCCCGTGAGATTCGCTACCGCCAACATCATGCTGCCAGCACCTGTGCGGCATGGAGCTGTGGTAACCAGTGGGGCAAGTGGCCACGCTCACTACCTCTCCCTCTTTGCCCTACCCTTGCCCCTTCTATGGCTCTTCTCCCCCCCTCCCCCTCTCTTGTCCCCCCGCCCCTCCCGCTTCTCCCCCTTGCCCTCCCTCCTGCCCCCCCCCACCAGCTCTGCTGCTTTCTCTGACAGCCGCCGCCGCCGCCTGCCCCGCCCTGATGCCCCCCGCCCCTCTGCAGCCGCCAAAAAAGGGGGTGGGGAAGGTTTGAGAGAGTGAAGGTGGGTGAGGGGGAGAGGGAAGAGCGCAAGGGGAGATGAGTGTATACAGGTTGAAGAAGCAAAACATCCAGTGGCATCGCTGAACCCAGTGACTGCTGGTAGGAAACACAGTGCGTGAGTGGTGTTGGTGATGGAAGTGGCGCTGGTGACTACATGCACTCACACCACTCGCAAAGAGCCGAAAGACCCTTTCCTCACCTGAGTCACTGTCAGCGCCAGCCCCGCCACTGCCCTGCCCCTCCCCCTCCTCCCCCTCCGAACCACTCTCCTCCCCATCACTCTCACCCTCCCTGTTCCGCGCCCTTGCCCCCTGCCCCTGCTCCTCCTCTGCATCCTCCGCTGCGCCGTTGGCAGCGGGGGCAGCGGCAGCGGTGGGCGGAGGGGGGGTGGGGAGGGGGTGGGTGGGGAGGAAGAGCAGGGCGTCAGAGGAGTCGTCGGAGTCGCTGTACGCCGCCACGCGCTCCACCCTCTCTATGTCCACCTCCTCCCACCCACCCCCCTCCTCCCCCGCGCCCGGCCGCACGGGAAGGCCGAGCCCGGGGTCAGGCCAGGCGTCGAACTCGTCTTCTCGCTCCATGTACTCCTCGTTCTCCTCCAGCTCACGGAAGTCAGGCGCGAACGCACTCCAGCTCTCACGGTAGTCCTGCGCCCACAGGTAGATGCTGCCGCCGCCCGCCAGCGACGCCATCACCTTGCGCGTGGGGTGCCACAGCAGGTCCGCCAGCGCCTCCTTGGGGCCCTCCAGGATGCGCACGAGCTGCCCGAAGGCGCGGTTCCAGATGTGGATCTTGTGCTCGCCACGCGCCGCCACGCCGCCCACCACGAACTCGCCGTCGCCGCTGAAGCAGGCGCTGCGCCACTGCACGCGGTTCACCGCGTCCTGATACTCCTTCACAAACGCCAGCGACACCAGCGCGCGTTGCTTGCCCCGTGCCACCACCTCGTCTGCACTCGGCCACCCCCCGCCCTGCTTGCTACCCCCTGCTCGCCCGCCCCCGCGCTCACTGTGCTCTGACTCCCCAGCTCCGCTCTCGCCTCTCTCCCCGTTCTGCTTCGCCCCCCTGGTCTCCCCGCCAGCGCCGCTGCCCTCGGCGCCGTGCAGGGCGGCGGTGGCGAGGGAGAAGACGCGCAGCACGCGGTCTGTGCAGTTGGTCAGCAGGAACCGCCCGTCGCGACTCAGCGCCAGCTGGCGGATGCACGCCGCCGCCCATCCAGTGCTCCCACTGCTGCCGCCCGCGGGGGAGGGCACGCCGGGGATGGCGGCGAGGAGGGCGGCGTCGGGCACGGAGGCGACGAGGATGTGGCCCGAGGGCGCGCCCACCAGCGCCAGGCTGCCGCTCTTGTCAAACACCGCCGGCCACGGCAGGCTCCCCGCCCCCGCCTCGCCCCCCCCGCCCCTCCCGCCTTTCCCTGCTCCGCCCCCCGCGCCATCCGCCTTGGGCGAGGTGGGGAGCGGTCGGAGCTTTCCGGAGGGGAGGTGGAGGAGGGCGGGGGGGGCGCCCATGGGGCAGACGAGCGCGAGGGAGGGGGAGGGGGAGGGGTGCAGGCGCACGTGGAGGGCGGGTTTGGGGAGCGCCACGGAGGTCACGGGGGAGCCCGCAGCCACGTCCCACAGCACCACGCGGTGGGGCGACGGCGGAGCATGCGGCTGCGCGGGGGAGTGCGCGTGCGCGTGGGCGGAGGGGCCCGCGGCGGTGTAAGCGGCGAGCAGCAGGCGGCCGCATTTGGACCACGCGACGCTCGTGATCAGCGACGGAGGCGGAGGGGGAACGGCGGAGGGCGTGGAGGACGGAGAGTCCGCCGTGGCAGGTGAGGTGGTCTCATGGGGGGGCGGGAGGAGCAGCGGGGGCAGCGGCAGCTCCTTGGCCACTCCGCGCGTGTCGAAGTCCCAGATGACGCACACGCCGTCCGCGCACCCCGCTGGCGTGGGGGGGGGGGCGGGCAAGGGGCAAGGGGCAAGGGGCAAGGGGCAAGGGAAAGAGAAGCTGGCGTAAGGGGAAGGGGAGGTGGCCAAGGGGGGGGCGCGCAACGGACTGGCGGATGGAGAGAGCCATGACGGCGGTGTGTGGCCGCGCACGCAGAGCCATGGCGTACCTGCGAGCAGCGTGCCACGGCGGTTGAAGGCGATGCACTTGGCGGCGCGGTGGTCCAGATACTCCTCGATCACTTCGGGAAAGTCGTTCTGAAACGGATCTGCCTCGAGGCGCGCGCGCCGCCGTTAGTGCGTTGCGACATGCCAAGCAACGGGAAAGACGGGAGCAATGGGACTGAGGCTGGGCGCGGGAGGGCGGCGCACGCACGAGGAGCGGGCGAGAACGAGGAGAGGGAGAAACGGGGAAAAGAGCGAGGCTGACCTAGCAGGCTGAGATTCATCGCGACGCTCGACCAATGGCTGCACGTTCCAGCATTCGACGAGCGCGGCACGTGTGATGAGATAGATGATCAACGTCCAAGAAGCTGCTTTGGATTTTGAGAGCAAATGTATGAAATTAATATGATTATGGGAGTTCGAATTTCCATGAGGGAAAACGAGTGTTCTGAGTTCTGAATTTTACAGCATGCTTTCGGTGCAACATCGAGGTTGACGATAACGGAGACAGGTCAACCAATTGCATATGTTCCCTCGTCACTTGGGGCTTGGCCCAGGCGCCCCACGTCCAGTCCCCCTGCGACGATTGCAGTCGCATGCCACGACTGGCTGAGAGCCATCCAGCCTTCTCACGTCGCATCCGTTTCGTCCACATTTCGCCTCGGCCTGCGACGCACACCCCGTCGCCCACTGGCCTCGCCCTGCCTCCTCTGGGCTCGCCTCAAACCCTCACCGCACCCGCCCAGCACCATTCTATTCCGCGACTCACCGCCACCCTACCGCTTCCTAAAGTCCTCCCACTTTGCCGCTCTTGCTACTCCTGCTACTATTACTACAGCCTTTCGCTTACCTCGCTAATTACCTGTTTTTAGGGTTTCATCGAACTTTTTAGCGGCTCGTGGCATGCGTTACGTGTGAGCGCGCGGTGGAGGTGAGGCGCGGGGCGACATGGGATGCTTCCTGTCCGTCGAGGTCGAGGCCCCAACTGCGCCCTCGTCCAAACCCGCAGGTGAGCGCTGCCGCTTGCTCGTAACGCTGCGTATTGCACGCGGTCGTTTCCCACGACGCCCGTGCCACTCGCGATTCCGTGTTTCTCGCCGCTGTTACTACTCCCGGCACTGTATCGCCGTTCCTCACTGCCCCCTTTGTCGCCGCGTGCGCAGAGGGCAGCCAATCTTCATCGTCGGGGGCTCCTAGGTCTATGAAAAGCGGCGGCTCGAGCGCGGCGTTATCCAAATTAAAGAGCTCCACATCAGGGTTAGGGGCGGACCCGGGAGGGGGAACAGGGCCGCCGCCAGCGCGGCGGCTGAAGCTGAAGGAGTTTCTGACGATCACGAACAGCTTCGACGAGAACGGCGTTCTAGGGGAGGGCAGCTTCGGCAAGGTGTACCGCGGCCTGTGGGAGGAGGCGCCGGCGGGGCGAGGCGGGGGGGGCGAGGTGGTGCGCACGCAGGTGGCGGTGAAGAAGCTCAACCCGGAGAGCTTCCAGGGCTACGAGGAGTGGCTGGTGCGCCCCCCCCCCCCCTTCCCCTCGCGCGCGCCCCGCGCTCCCCGCTTTGTCGCGCACGCCCTTCCCCGTTGCTATGCCCCTTACTCTGCGCTCTCGTTTTTTGCCACGCGTCTGCATGGTCG